TGACATAAAACCAAAAACATTGCAGTTCATGAAAATTCAGCATTATGCAATCTCTTGAGAGGAAGACTATGAACATGAACCCCCCATCCCGCCATCCCCCCTTAATCCTTGAAAGATCACCTTTTTTATGATTTTTTAAGAACACAAGATATTTTTTTAACAAAACCTAAGAGGTTTCATTCCCTCCGCTGAAAGTCCAGGTAACCAAAACTTAGAAGACCCCCCCCCCAAAAAAAGTAATAAAGGCATTGTAAAATTAATTTATATGAATTAAAGTCTTCTGAATAGATATGATTGGTTTATAATGAACAAATCTGAGGGTGAGTAAATGACTCACTATCCCTTTAAGGTCAAGTGGTGTGACTCCCCAAAAACTTAATGCTGCTGTATTATGTTATTAATAGCATCACCGTGTTATGTCATTACCGGTATTAATAATTCATGATATTTGTGGAAGTTATTTTTATAATTTTTAATTATTAAAACAATTATTAAATGAATAATCCGGGTTTAGTACAAGTTAAGTTCAGTCTGTAACATTTGTGTCATAATGTTGATTACAAATCAAAAATAATGTCTTGTCACTTGTTTTCTTTTTAGAGTCATTAAATTGTAACCTTTCTTGAAAATGGTATCAAAACCATATGAAACCACAAGAGTGCATTTCTAAGAATTTATTTCTAGATTTATAAAATATTTAAAATTTTCTTTATCGTGGCCATGTGTTTCAGCCTTTCTAAAGCAGCTGATCTGGATCACCACTGGGTGGCTCAGGCCTGGCTGACTGATGTGGGACTCCCTCAATATTCCCAGTTCTTCCACACTCACCTTGTCGATGGACGTCTTCTAAGTACACTCACACGCACCGACCTTGAGAAGCATCTGCACGTGTCTAAAAAAGCCCACCAGAACAGCCTGCTGCTGGGAATACAGCTGCTACACACGCTCAACTTTGACAAAGAGGTAAACACACACACATAAACCAGAAGAACAGCATGATGGGAATTCATAACATGGCACTAAATAAACCTTACCAAAAGGCAACAACAACCATCACAAACACACACATCAGAACAGCCCAGCTTGGAAAAACATACTCTGATTTTATAAAGGTCTCTATAGTAAGTTAATGAAGCTAAACAACAAATAACCAAAAAACGGTTTTGCTGCAGATTTTGCAGTCCAGGCGATCAGAGTGTGGGAATCAGAACACAGACCCAATAGTGTGGACCTGTCATCGCATCATAAAATGGATCAAAGAGATTGATCTGAAGGTACCATTGAGAGAGAACAGCAGTGCTAACAGAGAAAGTGTAGGTGCTGGTATATGGAAAATTTTCTCAAAAGAAAAACATATTTTTCATTTAGGAGTTTGCTGACAATCTTCAGAACAGTGGGGTTCATGGTGCCATCATGGTGTTGGATCCCTCCTTCAGCTCTGACACCATGGCGACAGCTTTATGTATTCCATGCAACAAGCACATGGTCCGTCATCACCTGAATGACGAGATGAAGGCACTTGTCAGTGCAGCCAGGTAAGAGAACAGGAGAGAGGCACTGTCTGTCTGTTAGTATTGTTGCAGAGTTAGGCACAGACACATACAGTACAATGATGCTGTACTGTATGTGTCTAACTCTACAAATGCATATGTCTCAATGAATAAATGTCTCTTTGAATACATTGTCATACAAGATCAAGAGGTGGTCGAGTCATGCAGATTTCTCTGATGTCTGTGTCAGCAGGGCAGGGCTTGATCAGGAGGTCGAACCTTTGGGGACTCCGCCCACACTTCACCGGCAAAGTTCTCTAAGCAGCTCATCACCCAGTTGTCATGACGATCAGCAGTCTTTAAGGAGGGTGAAGGTAGAACAATAAAGATGAATCATACATTTTTAAAACTCATACAAATGCCACATTTAGGCATTTAAGCACTGAGTACTTAAATACATAGACTTAATAGGCTATTTTTTTTCAAACCTTTTTACATTTTAATCTAGACTACAACGTGCCCTAGATATTGTTTGAAAATTGTTCGGTCACACAACTTCTGTAACAAATATTGCTCATTGTTAATGTTAATGCATTCACTAACATTAAATAATAATTCTTTCGCACTTTAATCTGTTTGAAACATTTGTTTACTTTATACATTTTTGTGTATTGCTTTATTGTATTTAAATGGTCAGTTCTGTTTGTTCTAAGTAAAAAAGTTTTTAAACCTGTTATATTATTACAACACATTTTTGCAACTTATTTCAATATCGTGATAATACCGTGTATCAGCAATTATCACAACATGAAAATTTGATACCGTCACATACCTAGCCACATTTAAGGTTAAATCATTTGAAAGTCGTCAAGAACATGTATGGATGGGAACATCAAAAGAAAGAAATGAAAATGTATGTTCTGAAAAAGAAAATAAATCCGATTTTTATTGTTTTACAGTATATATATATGCAACAGTATATCATTTTACTATTATTTAAATTTAAAAAAGGATTGCAGTATTTGTAGTCTATCATCATTTACTCACTCTTGTGTCGTTCCAAAACTGCAAACTTTCTAACATAAAGGAAGATATTTTGAAAGAATGTGTTTTTTGTTCATACAATGGAAGTCAATGGGCACCAGTGTTGTTTGGTTCCCAGCGTTCTTCAGAATATCGTCTTTTGTGTTCTGTGTGTTCCATAGTTTGGCATGACACAAGGTAAATGATGGCAGAATTTTTGGGCGAACAGTTCATTTAAATGTAGTTAGTTAAGACTTTATCCTTTGCATAAATCTTTTTGCACAACCACTGTGTGCTCTCTTTTCAAGGCCTTGCTCTTTAGTTCCTTCAAGTGTAGTTCTCAATAACAATGCATCCTCAGAGACTGATGATTTGTAGTATTGCTTGAATAATTCTTGAAAGTCAAATGCTTGTAGCACCAGTGAATCAGAAATCTGATAGATCAATTTACTTTCTACAGCAGCAGCTCGGTCTCAGCCCAAAGAATTTCACTGGACGGAAGATCAATCTCCAGAACAGATCCGGGTCATTTCCAAGGAATGGACTTCAGGAGGTCTCACTACAACGAGAGCGTTGCCCAGTTCGACATTTTTCTGCTGCTGAGCTCACCAATGTCTGAGTTATTCTCCTGACACTTTCTTAAAGCTCCCAAATGGGGGATTTTATTTCCTTTTTCAAGGTGAATGTCGATGAAATCTCAACGAAAGTACACATTGTCAGTCTCTGGACTCTCAGTTTGCCAGTAGGGGTCTTGGCTTTGCTTTGTAGACCTTATGTATGTGGACTCATTTGTCTCAAAGTGAGACAATCTTAAGAATGCATTTGAAAGGGCACATACACTAAACATTTATTTATCTGTTTAGATGTTTGATGAAATTATTGTCATGTGTGGGTAAGGAATGTGTGAGGATTCACGGTGAAGTATCCTGACAATTATAACTATGATTTGTGAGAACTCCACAATGAAAATTGTGGTAAAGTTGGATTTTTTCCCCCTCAATAAAATGAATATTTTCACATTTAATGGGTACAATTTAGAAAACCGACTCTGATAACATTAGATTTAGTGCTACAAAATACTGTACAAAATAATGTAAAATGTTGTGTTACACAGTACATCATTATTTAAAATAGATGATTATTTGAATTTCATGAATTTACCTGGATGAATATCTTTATATCCACTGGGTTTCACTTAGTCATGTGGTTCAAATCCACAGTAGGTGAATAGCAGGTCCATAACTACAGGTTAGTACACATGCTCGTCCAGTCACAGTGCACAATTTTGTATAATATGACATTTCTCTGAGAACTCGATTTCAAATTTGTCTCTACTCCCACTAAACCAAATGGTTCAAACCTGCTGCTTTTGTGTCCCAACTGTAAAACACCATATCAAATCTCAATATCATGCAAACATAGCTAGTATGCTACCAACTCCAAGGTCATGCACATTGCTAAGCTGTAGCAGCGGTTAGGCTAATCATCATAGTAAATGTGAAAAGATCAAAGATGACTTGTTTATTTATGTGTTTATTAAGCGACTTTCTGAAGCAGCGTAAAGGGAGGGACATGTTTTTATAGTTTTATAGAAAGACAGGACAACATGTTCTCCATATAAAAATGGTCTTAAATTTTATTTAAATCTTCTCGTTGGTACTTACCTATTTTATCCCAGGACATTAAGACAAGAAAAAAATTTTTTTTTTTAATTATCAGCAAATTTTTTCCCCTTTTACATTGTTGTATTTTTGTTAAGTATTTGTTCCATATATTTCTAGTATCTGATGCACATCATACCTGTAATTCCCACAATTTCCCACACATGATTAATAATGTACTTCATTATCCTGAGAAAAATAAGTTATACATGTCAGAGCACTCCTTGTTACTTTTACTATAAAAGTTACATGACGTTCCTGAACTTAAACAGGCACAGCTATGAGGAAGCACCTCACCTATATGGTCAACCTTTGTCCAACATTAATAAGACTGCCAGAATCACAACTGCCTATAAAATAGTTAAATATTGTTGAGCATTTGTTCCGCTCTAGGAATTTATGGTGGACAAACCCTGTTTGACATATTTATATTTATGTGGGTGATGCTGGTGATTTGATGTGCATCACCTGACTGCAGACTGGTGTGATAAATAATGCTAGTATCTTGAAAAATGTATAAATAAACTCCATGTCAGCTTCTCCACAGATCTACAGTCTTCCTAAAGGTTATCAATAATTATTATACAGTTAATATATATATACATGAATGAAAATAAAATAAGATTAAGACTTGAAACTGGAAACCCTGATAGTTTATGATTTTATTTCAAAATAAATGTTTAATTTTTTTCTGTATTATATGGAGTTCTTATATTCATCACCATCTGTTTCACAGAAAGTCTCGAAATGTGGTTCTCTAAAGCTTTATGGACCATCAGTGGATGGGGAAGTTTACCTTCAGAACACATGGGCGGGGCAGGAGCCCGAACAGGTCTGTTAAAGGGTTAAATCTGGACTGCAGGGACAGGACGATGTTCATGTCTGTGAAACTCGAGGCCAAACCGCTTTAAGAAATTAAAGTTCAGTTTCTTAAGGAATGTTACAAAAGCTCCGGTGTACGTGTACATCATTGGATTAAAAGTGGTTTCATCCAGCATTTAAACGGGGTTGGTCTCCTAAACACAAAGAAGAGCATTTTTCTGGGTAAGACTCATTACATTCCCAGTGAACTTTTAAGTTTGACTCGTTTTCCTGGAACTTTTATTACTGTTTACATGATTTTACATAGCTCGTTCGGTCTTTAAGACGCATGTAGTGCGCAGCGTAATTTGTTGTTTTAAGTGTATCTTTATATATTTAATCATACATTTTCATTTTTACGCCTTACAATGTGATCCCTCTGTAAAGAATTGTCTGCTTTTGCTATCTCTTAGTGTTTAACAGGACTTCTGGTCGTGTTAAGTTGCATTAATAGGCTATATGTAATGTTTGCGTTAAAGATATTTAACTCTTACTTATCAATATGTTTTGTTTCCATTGACACTTATAGACAGTCAAAATCTAGATTTTCAGACGATGATGCTTAAAGGGACACCAAGAAAGAAAATTTTGCTTTCACAGACCTTTTGTCCGTTCCACTTGCATTTTGCATTTTTAATCATAAAAGCATATTCTGTGTGAACTGCCCCTAGGGTGTCCTGTTGAGTACTGTTGAGTACTGTAAATGATGACATCTTTTTTGGGTGAACTGTCCCTTGAAGTTCACTGATGCTGAAATGTGTGTGTACTTTTCCCTCTAAGAGACCGCTAAGTAGGCTGTTGCTAGAGTTTCTGGGCCCCTGGTACACTTTGTTGCCTTGAGCTTCCTCAGCTGAATCCTTTCTCCCAGTTACGGTGCCCCTGTGTGATGTGAATTTATGTGGCTCAATTTTTTTTTCTTTTCTGATTTGGCTGAAGTGGCTTTTGTGAGGGGAGGAAATTCCTGCCATTCCCCAGTGCGTATTCACTCTCATAATTTAATCTGTCTGCATGCTTAGACGTGCTAGGTAAATTCTATGTTATGTATCTATTTCAGGCATGTACATTTACTAAACCTTGCTTATGCGTAAATGAAATTAAATTCAATAAGTCAGATGTGCCGGAATTAAATAATGTCTGTCCATGGAGACATTAAAAACCCTGCAGGAATACAAACACAAAGCTCATGAGCAACAGCCATTATTTTTCCATACACACAATCACAGCTCAAGGAAATAGATTCCATTATAAACTACCTGGCTCTACATGTACAAGATTTACACTGATCTGAGAGCATGGCTTAATGTTGCTACCATGCTGAGAAATGATTAAGGGTGCGGTAAGAGCGCTTATCCCAGACCTGCCTGTACAGATAATCAATACCAGGAGCTGTGTAGGCATGACACAGCAGAGTTATGATGTGCTTTCTTTAGTGTGTGTGTCTATTAAACAATATCACATTGTTAGTAAAGACATTTGTGGAGTTTGAAGCTGCCTGGTTTTCACTCTAAAGTACACCTTCCAGAGCAGAGATTAAATTTCACAGAAGTCTGCGTTTGTGAAAGCAGTGAACTCTCTCACTTCACTCTTGAATCAAACTCTTTCTTCAGTTTTCGTGCACCTGTAACTAAAGCTCAGTTGAAGGGACACCTGCTTAATCTCATGGAAGGAATTTAGGCAAGCCTAACATGTCTACCAATGAGTGTGTACACAATAAATATGCTTTGATAAAAACCTTATCACTGCGGAAGCACAGGCTGGGTTACTGCTATTTTCACATTGGCTTTATGGAGGGACTGGGCCTGGATCTTGGCCGCTTATTGATATATAAGACTCTTTTATGATAGTCTGTCTGATGATTCAATCACTTTTCTGCTGATTCACCTTTATTTGATTTTCTGTTCACAGAGCGGGTCAGTGCTCCAAAAAAGACAGGAAAAAATGAGATAAGGTTTTTAGGCATTTCGACAGGCACAGGAATACAAACAACGTGTCCGGAGGAGATTCGAGTCCACGGGAAGGTTTGGAAGCATGTCCTACAGCGACCAGACTCCACCCAGCCCCAGCAGGACCAGTGGCAGTAGCTCTGGGGCGCAGTATGCTACTGCCGCGCTGGGCGTGGGCCTAATTGCTCTGGGGATAGTCATGATTGTGTGGAGCGTGGTGCCGGCAGGGTCCGGAGGGAACAGCTCCACACCCGGCATGGATCAAGGTCAAGCTCGAGAGACCTCATCCGTGGCGTTCGTCCTAGTAGGGGGAGGAGTGGCGCTTCTGCTGCTGTCTGTGTGTCTGAGCGTACGGAACAAACAGCGGGCGGCTCGGGGACAGGAAGCTGCCAGTACACCTGCAAACACAGGGGAGGGGGCTACGTGAGTACATACTGTTAAATACACACCCAGGTGCAGCCACATTCTTACACTTTATGATAATAAGTAGGCCAATGACATGACTGATTTTTTTTGGTTTATTAATGTATTCAAGAACACATACAAATGTAATTCAGACATAGAGTGACTTGAATTCACTTAATATTTTTTTTGTTTGTTTCTGAATTAACATTCTTTTTTATTTTATTACATCATAAATGTCAGGTTGACGCAACTCTCCTGATATCATAGTGAAAAAAGCCCCATGAAAATAATGAAATTCTTTATTAAACATTATTAAGTAGTTTGGTATAAGCTTGTATTACTAAGTCTTAGAAAAAAAAAGATTTTAACAAAACTGCTTATTAATATTTGAAAAAACTTTGTCTGCCATATCAATGTGGTCCAACCGACATGCAGGAAAAAAGACAGGAAATTATATTATAAAGAGGACCTCTGCAGACTCTCATGACTGTCTCTTTTGTCTCATTTTGAAGGCTGCGCCCTCCAGAAGTCGCATTTATCAGCCACATATATCATCAAGGATGTCTCATTTTTTAGAAAAGTAACCATTATAAAGTTGTTGGTTAGTCCTTTTGAGGTGCAAATTATTGTGTTTTCTTTCTGACTTTGGAATGTAATGGTTGCTTTTCTAAAATGAGGCAGAATGAGGATTTTTTTTTTGCTCCAAAAACATTTCTCCTTATTATCAATGTTAAAAACAGTTATGCTGCTTAATATTTTTGTGAAAACCATGATATGTTTTTCAGGATTCTCCTTTGTAACAATGTAAAAATCTTTATTACTTATAATCAATTTAATGCATCCTTGCTAAATGAAAGTATTAAGTATTGATTAAGTCTTACTGACCCCAAATGTTTTGAATGATAATTTAAATGATAATGAGCTAAATATGTTTATGGTTGTAAATTTGCATTTATTTTTGCATCTAGGATAGAGCAACTAGCTCAAAACTACATGGTCCCCACTTACGAGGAGGTGGTAATGAGTGGCCAATATCCCATCAGTCAGTCCTCTGAGCGACACAACAGCATCACCCAGCTGCCAGCCTATGACGAGCTAGAGGAAGATCAGCACACTGCCGAGGATGGATTCAGCCCAGCACGCAGACCTTCATCCCAAATCGACCCCAGCACTGGAGCGGGCGGCCAAAGAAACGGCCGTCCCGGGCGCAAGCTGATTCCCCTTAAAATTAGGCGCATAAAATCTGACAACCTTAGAAGGAAAAGCTTAAGCGATATTCAGCAGACTAACGTGTTCACCATCGAACCCCTCACACCACCTCCACAGTATGACGATAAGCTCCCTCCACTTCCTACAAACACACAACAGTGAGGCGTGCTGGAGGTTTACACTAACACTATGCAGTCTGCCTACCTCCTTTACGAATCATTACTGCACTGGACTCCATATTACTCCTCTGGACAGGACGTGTCACTATCAGCAGCACAGAGGAGGCAGTAGTGTGTAAAGGTGGAGAGCCTTAATTATGTCTTCCTGTGTTGGCTGTATATTTCCTGTTTAGCCAAAAAAAAAAAAAACTAATAAAAAAAGTTGCAGCTGATTGGATTAAAACTGAACTGGAATTTTGAAAGATGTTTACTGAACAACTGTTGGTCTTGATCTAGGCTGGTCTTGTCAGGCTTGAAATTCAGCATTCAAGCTGTCCAGACCTTTATTTCATAGGACGTCCACAAGAATTTCCGAAGAAATGTGAAACTGTGTAAGCTGCGAGCCACATCAGCACTGTTGCGTTTTTTGCACTGATTTGTGTGTGTCGGGTGTGAGTGCATGTGGTGTTTTGTTTTTGTTTTTGTAAATTTTCCATGAACTTTGCTTTAGTTCTTGTGTTTGTGTGTAAGTATGCTTGTTCTTAGTGACCTTGTTGCCGGAGTGACAAACCGTGAGGTCATCAGTATGTGTCTCTCCTCATGGTTTACGACACAGAGAGGTTCTTTGACCCTGCAGCTGCCTTATACCACTCTCTCACCAACACACACCACCAGACACAGAGAATTTCTTGTCTCCCTTTTTCACTAACTTGATTACACAAACACTCAGTCTTTGCATCCCTTTATTTTTAACTTTTAATGTTGATTAGTGTGAAGACAACTGTGTTTCTCATAGGGCAGCTGTGGCATCTCCATGCTGTGAGGTTCAAGCTCCCAGTCATCTGTCTGCACTTGTGTTACTGCTCTAAACACTCCAGGATTTTCACATTAAGACACACCTGTAGCTGGTTATTACTGAAATCAGTGTTTCTTCTTCTGGAATTTTTACTGATGCCACTGCAGTTTAAGATAGACATGGATGGAAAAATGTTGCTGAATCTCATGTGCTATTTAATGATATGTTGTATGTTTCTTCTGTTTATTTTTTTTCTTCTATTTTTGTTATATTCTGATTGTAAGCTAGTATGGCATGAGAAATAAAAACATTTTGACATGTGGATGTATTTGGTCTAGAATATTAAAAAATATATATTTGTGTCATGAGGGATGCTAATAATACATAAAAATAAAGTGAGTGAGTGAGAGAATCAGAATAGATTTTAGCCTCTAGAGCAATTTCTGTATTTTAGAAAGATCAAAAGGAATAAAAAATGTTGATATAAATCATTTTAAAAATGAAATTGATTGCTACGTTTTGAATCTCTATTCATGAAGTTTGTAACCACAAAAGGAAAAAAATAAAGATGTGACACAAGAAAGGATTTCCTTTTGGATGATAAATGCTCTAAAATTTATTATAAATTTCCATCGTGAACTGATGTATTCAATTCACACCCTAACCTTCATGTAATGCAGTGGTTCTCAATTCCAGTCCTGAGGACCCACTGCTCCGCACATTTTGTATGTCTCTCTGACACACACATTTCAGTTCATGGATCTCTCTCCTAACGAGCTGATGATCTGAATCAGGTGTGTTAAATAAGGGAGACACACAAAACATGCAGAGCAGGGGGTACCCAGGACTGGAATTTAGAACCAGTGATGTAGTGGACTGTGATTCATCCAGTAACAGAGTCAGTTCACTATAAAGATTCATTCATTTTTGTTTACTAATTTTTTCAATGATCCATGCAGTTGGATGAGTGAGTCATTGAATCATTCACTCAACCGATTCGGTCAGGGAAGGGCGTATCCCTTGAGTAGGTCCAACCAATCGAACACTCCTTGAGAACGATACTCGAATGCTGTTGGTCTGCTGTATCCGGGCTGGAAAGCAGAAACGCATTCAGACGCTCTGGAAGTGAGAGCATCCAGTGAACAGAAAAAAAGGTTACTTCTACAAGTAAGTTTGATTTTGGATTTATTAATCAAATGCTCCATTTGGAGGTAGATTGGTATAAATCTATTATAGATCAACTGTTTAACCATAAAACCTGCTGCTATGATCTAAGACATGGTGAGTGAGTTAGACTTTCTTAACTGCTAATAAACTGCCATGCCAATGACACGCACATTTTAAAATGTTTATGATTATTTGTTTTAATATCAGCATAAACTAACTTTTATTTTACAGTGTCTTGTGCAGATATTCAATAACAACCTTGTATTTAATAGTACAGCTCACATGATCTAGTCCTGTGGCCACTGCAACTCTGTTTTGTTAGCCAAAGACAAAGTAATGTAAAGTAGTAATCTGATTTTATACATAGACCCAGACTGTAAAGGGTTTAAATGCTGAACACACATGCTACTATTAATAGATGTGAGAATATGGAGTAAAAACAGTGACTCTCACCCGCACTACTGTTTTATGCAGATCTTACGATAAAATGTATCTCTCTGATGTTTAGATGCTATGCGAGACTACCTCAAAGGTAGCTGAGATATAGCGCCTCCAATTGGGCCAATAATGCAATTTCTCCTGTTGTTGTATTGTCATATGTCAAATTTATGGGTCCATAACTTTAAAATGCTACAGTAAAAATGTCAAAAAATTTGCATGGTAACAATCAAGTGCCCTGGCAATAAGGCCTCAGTGGAACTTTTAACACACCCTCAAAGGAAGCTGAGATATAGCGCCTCCAATTGGGCCAGTAATGCAATTTCTCCTGTTACTGTTTTGTCATATCTGCCAAATTTATGGGTCCATAACTTAAAAATGCTACAGTAAAAATGTCTATAATTTTACATGGTGACAGTCAAGTGCCTCGGGAATAAGGTCCCAGTATGACCTTTAGCGCACCCTCAGAGTCAGCTGAGATATAGCGCCTCCAATTGGACCAATACTGCACTGGCTCTTCTAACTGTATTGTCAGTGTGTCCATGAATTCAAAACGGTACAGTATCCAACAATGCAATGGCTCTTTCAATTAAATTCTGTTTAGTAAACATTTATTTATATTATGCTTTTCACAGTACATGTTGTTTTAAAGGTGCTTTACAGAAATGCATGCTTCTTACAACACCACAATAGTCTTTTATGAGATGATATCAGAAAGTACAGTTGGAAGATACTACAAATTACAGTATTTACAAACATCATATATGCATTTAAGCAAAATGAATGTGCATTTTAAAGCACGTAACTTGATCTTTTTGTATAATCATCCAGTTGATGTGATGTTCTGGAGTCTGCATTCCTCTGCGGTTTGCTCGTCAATAGCGATATTGTGAATTGCAAAATTGCGATATTGCAGTTATCACGACAGCCCTACCACTGAGGCCTTATTCCCAAGGCACTTGACTGTTACCATGCAAATTCTCAGACATTTTTACTGTGCATTTTAAAGTTATGGACCCATAAATTGGGCAGAAATGACAATACAATAACAGGAGAAATTGCATTATTGGCCCAATTGGAAGCACTATATCTCAGCTGCCTTTGAGGGTGTGTTACAAATTCTAGTGAGGCCTTATTCCCAGGGCACTTGATTGTTACCATGCACATTTTCAGACATTTTTACTGTAGCATTTTTAAGTTATGGACCCATAAATTTGGCAGATATGACAATGCAGTAACAGGAGAAATTGCATTATTGGCCCAATTGGAGGCGCTATATCTCAGCTGCTTTAGAGGGTACGTTAAAAGTTCCACTGGGCCTTATTCCCAAGGCACTTGACTGTTACCATGCAAATTTTCAGACATTTTTATTGTAGTATTTTAATGTTATGGACCCATAAATCTGGCAGTAATTACAATACAATAGGAGAAATTGCATTATTTGCCCAATTGGAGGCGCTATATCTCAGCTGCCTTTGAGGTTGCATTAAACGTTATAGTGGGGCTTTATTCCCAAGGCACTTGACTGTCACCATGCAACATTTCAGACATTTTTACTGTAGCATTTTAAAGTTATGGACCCATAAATTAGGCTGATATGACAATACAATAAGAGGAGAAATTGCATTATTGGCCCAATTGGAGGCGCTATATCTCAGCTCTTTCGCGCAGCACAAAAATGAACCGAAACTCTGCATACTAGGCTACTTGTTGCACAGTTTTTCCTTCATTTTCTCGTATAGGCCTATTTATTATTATTATTTTATTATTATATTAAAATATTATTATATATTATTATTTATATATATATAGCCTAGCTTTATTATGTTTTTTTCCGCTGGCAGAAGCGCTGCAGGTGCGTGATGTGATATGAAGTCCGTGAATCCTCATGTTCTGTTGTTTGCTGCTTTTTGCGCATGTAAAATTAATCCCCGGG